TTATAATAATATTTGGAAATAATATTGGAAAACAATTATTTTCATAATTTTAAGCGATAATTAGACGATAAACCAAGTCATGAATTCATGTACATAAAAGGATAAAACTTTCCCAACAAAGGATTTTTTATATAATATCGTATTAGTATTTAAAAGAATAATAGATTGGATTGTGTTCGTGCAGGAATAATAATTTATATAATAAAACTTATATAAGAATATTATTGAATAACAAAGTGCATAAAAAATAAATTATATTATATTCACATAATTATAGACATACGGAATATTTTAATTTATCAGTTTACGTAATTTATCAGTGTCTATCGCAGCATAATTTTAATAAACACGAAATATGTTTAATTAAAAAATTATATTGCAAATGATTATTTGTATAAATTAATAATTGTATTATGACCATAATAACAAATCGATTATAATAATGATTATCTTACGCATGTATATACTTGAAAAATGAGATAGTAAAACATTGAGAATTTCTATTATTAAATAATAGATTTATAAATTACAAAATTTTTACTTCATTGCAATAAATTAAGATAATTTCAATTTTTCAATTTGAATTACTTAATATTTGCAAATATATTGTTAACATATCTCATTCACACCATAGATGTTTCATTATTAATATATTATTCGAATCACTTATAATCTAATTATAATTCATATTATCGTATTTTAATAGAAGTAAAAATTTAGAGTTTTAACATTATTATAATAATATTTCGACGATATATATACATACAAACACAAACACAAACACACACACACACACACACGCACGCACGCACACGCACACGCACACGCACACGCACACGCACACACACACACACATATATATATATATACAAATTAGACTTTTATTAATTTTTTAAATTTTTATATTTTTAAATTGAAATACTTGCATGTAGATTATAAAAATATAATATAGATTAAGCTGAAATTTTCTTTTCAATAATTTCTACAGATTACCAGTGATTAGATTCAAGTTGTCTGGCACGTCAAGCGACGATATACTGCATACTTTCTAAATCAACTTCATATATTCCTGATACGTCAAAACACATTTCTACACTACTATCTCAATAAAATTTTTATCGCCGTAAGAACGTATCTACTTTAATAAATTGAAATTATTATATGAGGTATTAACTAGTTATGTATCTTAAAAAAAAAAATTTATTCTATGATCAATAATGTGTATGTATAAAATTTATCGATTCTATTGGTAAATGGAAAAGGATTATTTGAAATTGTAAGATTAAAAGTTTCTTAATTAATTATTCATTCCATTTTTATTTTCCTTTATAACTAATAATACGCTGTATCTCGGATTAATTAATTAATTAATTAATATTAAATAAATTAATTTTGAAAATGTAGTGAGCTAATGGTAATAGTTATAAAATTAAATAATTAAAAATCGATTACATTACAAATTTACGTTTATTTTGAAAACTTACAAGTATTCTTAAAATTAATGATATACTTTTACAAATATTAATTCTATTAATTTTAATGTACATTAATTTTTTCGTATGCGCGCGTGTGCGTGCATACGTGTGTGCGTACGCGCGCATAAACATTTACGATAGTTGCAGGTTCTTCGTACTTTAATTTATATACTCTGACATACATATTATTATTTTTATTTTGAAATTAGTACTTAAATTATATTGATTTTTCAATTTCACGATATTACAATTAAATAGAAGTTATTACTTAATTCATTGTGGCAACGAAATTATAGAGACAATTGTCAATATTACTCACCGTATAATGAAAGTGTATAATATATACATTTTTATGTAAGTAAAGTATGGATTTTATTTGAACATCATAATATCAGAAAACACATCATTAGTTTGTTCTTATTTTAATTTTAATCTAAAGACTAATATTTCCAAAATTTTATCCATTATCTCAATATCTTACGAAATTCTGTGATAAAAGTTCCAATATCAAAGTGATCGTTTGATCGCGGCTTTTCTTAAAGTAAAGAGCATCAATAATAATCCCGTCAAATGTATAAATACATCAGACTTATCGTCGAACAAATCAATTGGCTATCACCAAATAGCGCAACCATCAATACAATTCAAAGAAGTAAAGAGGCAAAGCAAAATGAAGGAAAACGTGAAGCAACGGAAGCGTAATTTCAATTAGGTCGTGTACAATTGGTTACGTCTATGCGAGCACAGACCCAAAGGTAGGGTGGGGAGAAGAGTAAAAAAAAAAATGAAAAGTGGCGATAAGGGCCGCTCGAGCGCTCTCTTGACTCCTCTTTCTCTCTCGCGCGCAACGGCGGCGCACTCGCCGAGCGTACCGAGTGCTTCATGACTCGTGACGTAAGGCACGTAATTGTCGGCTGTACATACACCCGGGACATATACGGGATAGGAGCTGCGAGAAGGAGGTCGGCGCGCCCGTTCCGGCTTGCATACATGCGAGGCCGCGCGCACGTACCTCTTTCAACTCGCCCAGGTAAGTTATCCTTTACAAGCACATGGGTCGAGGTCGCTGTGAGTACGCCTACTTAAGCAAGGGGAGGGAAACGTGGACTTTTTATCAATGTCTACCGGCTCGAGTACCATTGGGTGTAATTTGAGGCTCAACGTGACCCGGAATGGCGCTGGACGCGTAGGTCTGTTTCAAGAGCTCGGAAGCTCTTGCGCCTGGAAATGGGCCGATGTTCAGGGATTTTGAGTTTTGACGAGCTATTAAAGCTTATTTAGCTTTAAACCGAATGATTTTATAGAAAATTAATACGGCAAACAGTTGGTATTCAAGCTCTTAAGGAAGGCTCTTACGAGTATCGTAACACTGCTTCTGCAAAATGAAAATAATTCGTATGCAATTTTTACATATACGTACATATTGTTCGATAAAAATCATAAATTATGAAATCTAAAATCTTAATTAACAATTAATGTGTTAAATCAACAAGTTCGTGATTACACACACACACACACGCACACACACGCACACGCACACACACACACACACACGCGCGCGCGCGCGCGCGTATATATATATATTATATCAATAGCCCTTTAATGATAATTTGACACAATTACAAATTAAACAGAGCTTTAAAACTAATAATAATTAAAAAATTCCTACATAGATAATATTGATAAAAACTTCTTTTTTTTTAGAATAATCATTATTTTTTCTTTTTAAAAAATACATATATATCAGCTTGCCAATACTCCTTATGCAATGACTTTAGTGACATTTGACGTTTTGACATTTTCTAACGTAATTCAGTCTTTTCCATTAAAAGAAAAAAAAAAGAACTCAAATTGCCTCTCGTGACATTTTGCAAATAAAGTCATTGGATATTTTTAATAGATACATAGAAACAATAGATTAAAGTTAATTTGCGGAAAAATGCTTTCGTTTTCAATTTTCAAAATTTTAAAATAAAGTACATGAACAATTGATTTTATTGGGAGTTAAGCAAATTTCTCTTTTTAATGAAATGTTAACGGCCAATGAGCTCATAAAATGTCTAGAAACTTCTTAATACCTTTCAATAATTAATAAATCAAGTGTCAAATAATAATTATTAGAGTATGTAATCGAGTCAATCGATACAATATGACAGAAAAAGCTACTAGCATATTGAAAAGCATTGCTTATTCATTTATTCTCTTTATTTACATACTTCGATGAATTGTCAGTGATTAAAAATACGCATTTTTTTTACAAACTTTGACGAGCTAAATAAAAATGCGTGCAATATGAAACTTTAGTTCCGAGTACTCTGAGCAATATGGAAAATGCACGTTGTATTGGCTCGAATTATATTTTCTTTTTATTCATCGGCAGTAAGAGCTTTGCTCTGTTTTTATTGGGCAAAGTAATTAAAAACTTGGAGGATTTTTAAATATTTTCTTACGTTTATTTCTTTCTTTTTTAATAAGATAGGATAGGTCACTTTGAAAAATTTTATAAGCTATCATAAACTATAATAACATCTTAAGACTTATTAATTATTTATTTCACTTCAATTAAGAATTCTAAAATACCGCGTGAAAAGTGCAATAAATTACAAGTTTTTAATTTAACTAAAAACGAGTCAATCGATGAGTTTAAATGTAAAATATGAATTTCTCGAAATGCTCTCTCTCTCTCTCTCTCTCTCTCTCTCTCTCTCTCTCGTCTGATGAAAATTGTCGAGCGTGAAAAATTTAGTAATTTATTAGTAATTCTAATTTCGAATACACGAAAGGAATAATTCGTCAGCAGAGCACTTTCATATTAAACGGGCAACGCGTTAATGCTCTCGTCATTAAAAATTTGGCTCAATACTACAATATCCATTGATATTATTCATTATATTATTAATTATTCATTATATTTATTTAAGAAGAGGGATTTTCTATTTAAGAAAATTGCGTGTGCCGGTGGTAGTATTTCCCGCATTACGGTGGGACAGGTCAATAGGAAGGGAACGCCGAGCGACACCATCGGCTGCTACACAATCTGTCACAATCTGTGACAAACGCAAACTCCTGCTCTCCTGGTGAAATCGTGACGATCCGCAGATGACTCGCGCAGTCCGGAATGCGCGGACACGTAACGAGCTCGGCCGGGACGCAGGCGCACGAGAGGACCAGCTGTCTGGTTGTCATCAGGTTGCCGGTGGGCGGGGGTCGTGAGTTTTGCCCTCCATTGGTCATTGGTGGGCTAATGGCTCGCGCACCCGCGCATTTTGAATGGAGCTGGAGCGCGGGCGACCACGCTCTCGCGATCGCGTTGGCGCTCGTTTTGGCCATGGCGTTTGTCAAAGCCGCGGGCGCATTGTCGCTCGGGGCCAGGCTGATTGAGGCGGAAAGCCGAGTGCGCAGGCGTGTAAAGGGCCGCTGAAAACGGCGGTTGGATTGTACGAGGAGGCAGAGAATGTGCGATTGAGGTGGCCAAACCATATTGATTAGCCAAGGTTGTTTGAATTTGGCTGGGGTGCGTTGGCGAGGAAGAAAGGTTCGTCGATGGTGCGGTTGGAAGACATGGTATTTCATAATATTGAGCGATTGCCGATAGTAGCAGTAAGCGGGACGATCTTATCGAATGGGGATCTGTCGATTTTTAGGTTATATTAGCGATACGACACAGGAACCGTTAAGAGGTTAGTTTCGTTCGTCGGCGAGCGAGGCGAGAGAAGACAACTATTTAGTGCAAGAATTAAATTAATTTTATCATTGGATATTGGAGAACATGATTGCATTGCGAATAGTCGATCATTTGTAATTTGCTTTTGTTGTTGTTTTTTTATCTTTATCTTATTTATTTATTATTTGAATAGCTCTGCAAGGAGTATCAATTTGGGATTGTTAAATATTATTTAAAAAATTTTAAACAGAAGCTGATTGATTAGAAATTTGGAAAGCCATTTTATTTATAATATCTCGACAATGGTCAGGATCAATGGCGACTTTCTAAATGTATAAATATTTCAATTTTAATTTAGTTGGTATTAATTCGTATAATTTGCAATTTATATTTAATTATTTTCTATTTAATTATTATAACTATTAATATTATATTAATATAATATCGTATAAATTGTTAATCAAGCACGTAATGTATAAATTCACACAATAGAGATCAGTGTTAATTTTCCTGGCAATAGTCAGTATTATCATTTGACAATTTGTTATCTACTGCACCATTTATATTTAATTGATATTTGAAATTTTATTTAATATCAGCCTCTGGTTAAAAAGTACAATAAAATAAATATATGGCATTAATCGAATGTACATGAGTACATAAAGTTTATAAAAGTTTGTTTATGTTAATGTAACTTTACTGTTGATGTCTTCTATGATTTTTGTAATCGTACGAATCATCACAAAAGTAATAATATAAGTGAGCTCAGATCAATAAAATTTAATTATAAAAAATTACCATATCTTTACGAGTGTTTATGAATTTATAAATATGTTGCAAGTTAAAATTCTGTTATAATTGATAAAAACCGTTGTAGGTTAAACAGTGGAATTATCAGTCTAAGTAATCGAAAGAACTGGAAAATAGAAAATTGCTTGATTATACGATAAAATAGATCATGTCAGAGAAAGAATCCGATATACTAAATATTATCAAAAGAATATTTAGTAATTGGACTGCTTTAAAAATGGCAGTCGAACATGGCATGGGAACAAAAGAACAGGCTTATGATTTTTGTATATATGTCGATAAGCTATTATCAATGAACGAACAGTTACATACTACTGACATAGCAGCAGAATTAGAAGACTACATGGACTTAGAGTTTAATACAAAATTAGAAGATAATAGTGAAACTCAAGTTGCTGAAGAAATTCAACGTTTCAATAATTATTTAAAGTTAAATGACCAGCAGACATGGGAAGAAGAAACCGCTAAACTATCGCCAATACAATCATGGATATTACCACACAGTAATGTTGTAGCGCATAGTACTTTAAAGACGGAGAACAATGAAATGGAAGTGGATGCCGATGGATGGTCAGTTATAAGAAGAAAGAAAAATAAATGAAAAATTACTAATGTTTTTTTTTATTTATTGTAAAGCTTTTAGGGTAAAGCATTTTACCCATCGTTCATTCATTTTTTTAACCTTTTAATTCACAGCTTAAAGTATTGCTGCAAATGATGTGGAAACATTATTTACAGTAGTATCCTATGAATAAATAAATAAAATAATAAAAAGAGATAATAAAAACAGAGGATTAATTAAATTACAACTTTTGCATGTAATTTACAGCAACGATAATTCTACCATGTGAAATTATAAAAAATATTTCATTTCTTTCCAAACCTTACTTTCACAAGATTAAAAATTAGAGGATAAATATTTTTCTTATAATTATAATTAATTTTAAACAATTTTCAATACTAATCTCGAAGGAAATACATAAGAATTTTATAATTGTAGAAATTGCTTTCACGAACCTACGGATAAAAATCGATTTCGAGTAATTTTATGAAATATGTTTTTTAATTACAATTATAATTAAGAAGACTCGTATGTACTCCCAATTATTAATTTGTTTATTTACTGTACTTGTGTACCGTGCCATACCTCTCCACAAATCTTCTCCATACAAGCTAAAAGACATGAGTTTACATAATTGCGATAAAAAAAAAGATTCATTAAATTATTTACGAAGAAGGAATGGATAAAATAATTAATATCAGAAGATCATTTTCACGTACAATTACTGCACTAATAAATCGTTCGTACCTAGGCCGTTAAGTGGCATTAGTCGCAGGTCACGCGCATGAAAAGTGCGGATAAGCCTTTTCATCCACACGTGCCTGTCAATCCTAAATTCCCTCGATCGGTTCAACTTGGCTCGAAACGCGGTCTTCAATGCGCATGCGCATGCCGACGCGGAAATAATGGCTCTCCCACCTACAACCGTATAAGGAGCCCGCGTTTCCATCAGGACATCATAAGCGTCGAATATCTGGGCGTGGCATCTCCTAGTACAACGTGTTACCCTGTTACTTAGACCACGTGTTCCGACGAGGCATTTATTCGCGGTGCTCCCCCCGTATGTCTAAATAATCCATGTGCCGGCAACTTTTCGCGATCGCTCACGGGCCACTGTGATACGATATCAGTAGACATTGGCGCCTCCTCCATCATTCTGTTCGCCGGGTAAGCTCGAATTCAGTTTAGAATGCACGTGGTCGCCTTCGTCTGGTTTAGAGCGCAAAGAGGACGATGACGCTCTGAGCTCTAACCCCCCCCCCCTCCCGCCCACACAATCTACCCGTAAGTGCTCATTCCACCAGATTTTGTTCATTGCCGGTGGGGAGGTTAGGACAAAGAGACAGACGGAAACACACGCGAGTCATGGGAACGAATCGAATGTTTTTATGTCTTATTTATAAGACATGGATGCTTTAATTTTAAGATTTTGTTTTTAATTGCTTCGAGTTTTCGAGATTGATTTTAAGTTTTAATGACATAAAGACGAACGGTCGTAATTAATAATTTGAAGCCTATGACTACTCGGTTGGTTCGTTACAATCTTTGCGAACGAAAAGCTTTGGCGAATGTATAAAAATGATAATACAGAAGGGTGTATTTTGAAAAGTTTTATTTTTGTTTGTTGTTGTTTTCATTCAATGATTATCCATTATAGAAAATCTGCAACAGCATCAGCCACCAATTTTTTCACGTTATTTGTATCATTCGAATTGGCGCCGTTGCATTAAATTTGGTATTTGACCTTTCGAATACATAATTTTGTGTTGGTTATTTATTTGAAGTTGTCAACGAGAGTTTCGACTACAAAAGATGTGACATCAAAATTTTTGGTAAAAAGTAAATAATTATATACGAGTAAAACCAACTGTCGGTCTTAAAAAATTGTAATGTTAAATCTGTAGAGTATGAAATACTATTTCATAACCTATTTTCTACTCAGCGGTTATGGCGCTTGCACTGCTTATTATTCCTATTAATTTATTTCTTGAAAATTAATAAGAACACATACGATAGCGAATAATCGGATAAATATTTAAGAAGCTTCCCAATGCCAAGCTCCGGGAAATAAAAAACCAACGGCTTTCATAATAATATAACGCAGCTATATGTAATTTGTATTCTTATGCGTGAAAAATGCTTAGTCGATCGATCCATTTACAATTCATTAAAATGCATTCGACGAATATGCACCATAATATGACAAGATTTAGCACGGTTATCGCGATATTATGCATTCGCTTACACGGTAGGGTTGCGTGGTGGAAACAACTATTACGCATAACGATAACGATAAATTAGATGACGGATAAAGTTCTAAAAATTCAACCCAACACCGAGAGCAAAATCTATGATAATATTCAAGTGTCTATTATATTGTTTATACTAGTATTGTTTATACTCTGCATTCGCATGATGACGCCAGGTGAAATAAGAAAAAGCTTCTAATTCATAACGAACATTTATAACGGCAATGATAATTCAGAATTTACAGGGAGTGAGCAGAAGCAGCTGGATGACTATAACCCCCCTAGTCGGCCAACTGCCGTCATAAATCCACCCAATTCTAAAGAGCAGCCGAATAAAGTTGTCGAAAATTGCGAAGGTCATGCACGAGGTCTCCCGCGATGCGTACAGAGAGAGAGAGAGAGAGAGAGAGAGAGAGAGAGACAGAGAGACAGAGAGAGAGAGAGAGAGAGAGAAAATTATGTAGTTACATAGAGCGCGCGAGTAAAATAGCAGAACGAACGCCGAGGCAGGCGCTCACCCATTGGTCGACGCGATTCCAACTACGCGCGCATACTCGAGCTTTTCCCACCCCGACGGAGTAACCGCTCCTGCTCCGCTTCGTCGCCTATCCATTAATATCATATATTAATATAATGGCGCCATCTCTCATTCGAACTCTCTCTCTCTCTCTCTCTCTCTCTCTCTCTCTCACTCTCGCCCCGGCAGCGCGCGCACACAATTCCCCACCACACCCCCCACCCCCCAAAAAATCCCCCCACCCCCCCCAAAAAACCCCCCCCCCCTCCGCAGTCGAGAGAGTGCGTAATCCTGCAAACCGAAAACGCGCGGTTAACAATGAGAGGGTGTCAGCCGACTTTTTCGGGCCTCATAGGAGCCTGGTTGGGAATCCGCGGGACACGGAGCTCTCGCGTCGACGTTCTTCGACGTCGGACACCTGCGCGACGTCTTCGACGTCCGCGGCCGCGGATGACGGCCACCCGTCCCACCGACGTCCACGTCAAGCCGCCACCGCTCATCCCCGAAAGGCTCAGCCGGTGGCCGACGGACCGCGCGAGGGCCAAACTAGTCGTTGACACGCTCCGGAAGACTCCTCACCTGCCCATCAAAAGACGCGGAGTCGTCCACGATGGCTAACGCCCGCCCCGGCGAACACGAAACCGAGGAGGAAGTCGACGTCCGTGACTCGTCGCGCCGCCGCACCGCTGACTGTATACGACGCGTCAGCTCCTCGACAGCGCCATTGCTCGCCACTTTACCGACGCAGCCGTCAACGCTACCGCATCCTCTCCCCTCCATCACCGGCGCTCAACGAGAACCTTTGCGAGAACAGGCCTTGGGGAGAGTTTTTACTTGGGCCCCGTTAATGACGATATGCGCCCTCGCTCACGAGTATAATCGGACTTTATTACTCCTTTATATTTCCAAGCTTTATACTAACTATACTACAGCGAGTGTGCCCTGGTAAAAGAGCGAATGCCAATCATCGCGATTGTCTCTGGCGATTCCTGTGTTGGCTATTTTTAATGATTCGTCACGGATATTTCAATCAGTCGATTGTCCATCGTTTTCACTTAAATAATATTTGGCGGAGAAATAAATATTGTCGGACGTTACGTCGGCTACCTGACCCTCCTTTCGGTAGATAAAGTCAATAACTGCTGTGATTTTTAAGTTTCGAGTCAGCTCCTTCGATACCTTCGCTCCTCGTATCGTCTTGGCGAAATGTGGACGCCTTTCGAGATCGGCTTTTCTTTGCATCTTCGTCGACTGCGTTTGTACGTGGTTGTCGTAGCAGTAGTTGGTAGCTATAAGGTTCGGTTCGCTCGGTCATACAATGGGATAATTCTTATTCTTATTTTTCTTCATATGTAACATTTAACTCAATTAATTCCGTCGCTCAGCTATTCTCGTGACGCGCAAGTTGTGTTTAATTTGCCTGAAAAGAAAGACGTTCATCGTTCTTCTGCGAGGTGAAATTAATATTCGTAACGGATGAGAGCCTATGACGGCAAAGGGGTATCGTTCGAAACATACATGAATGTTTGTGAAATGTATAACGAACTAACGGCTACGTCATTATCCCTAGATAGACCATTTTTATTCCTTAATTACATGTAAAGAAATTTAGACTTTAATTTCATTAAATTGTCGACTAATGGAGAGAAAAAAAAATAGTCTATCGTGTAATGTGATAGAAGGTTAGAAACGTTAGATGTTGATTATGAAAATAAATTTTATTTTATTATTCGCTTACACCAATACAATTTACCGCTGTTATAATAATATAAATAATATAAATGATGAATGACAATTGCATGTTTACATTCTTATTGATAATTATAAGTAGTATAAGGATGATTAAACGTTTGATCGTAGTAACTAAATAAAATATAAAACTTGTCAGGGAGATTTAAATTTATTAAAAATCGTTGTAAATGAAGTCCCCCCCCCCC